GGGGGAAATCAGAGTTCACTGATCACATTAACTCGGTCGATAAATGGCAGGTTAGCCTTAAGTTAGACTGAGATTTCCATCAGTAATGAGTACCATAAACCTACACATACGGATCAGTATTTAAGGTTTGACTCTCATCATCCATTGGAGCACAAAGTAGGTGTCATCAGAGAGGAATACCATCCCCACAGACAAAGCAGAAGAACATCATATCAAGAAAGTGCTGAGTGAATGTGGTTATCCCAGTTTTGACAAATATCCAACTGGGAAGGCACTTGACGAAAGCTCCAGACGACCGAGGAGAGATGGAAGCGAAAACCTTTAGTGACCCTTTATGTGTCAGGACTATCGGAACAGCTGAGACGCATTTTCACAAAACACCGAGTCTCTGTGGCTTTCAAATTCCAAACACGCCAAAAACCGGTGCACCCCAAAGATTGGGTCCTCTCGGCACAAACAGAGTAACATAGTGTACGCTGTTAAGTGCAGGAGGATTTCCAGGATTTATACATCGGGGAAACCAAACGACCTCTGGCAAAGCAGATGGCGCAGCACAGAAGAGCTACCTCGTCAGGCCAAGGGTTAATCTGTCACCATCTTACATGCTGTGATTGCAGCCTTTCCCCAACTCTCTGTGATGGTACTCATGGCCACTGATCAGTGTTTATTGAGTTGTGACAATTTGCATATTAAAGATCATCAAACTGACCTCACGGCTCGTTGTTAGTCAGTGGTGCTAGCTTCAGTCATTATGCAAATGCACCGTTTCTAAGGCGACGTCCACACTGCATCGTTTTCTCTCCGTTTTGGTCTCCCGTCCACACTGAGACGGCGTTTTTCTCCAGGAAAACCGCAGCGAAACGCTCTCGAAAACGAAAACGCAGACTTTCTAAAACGATGACGCATTTTAGTCATCTGATGCAGTCACGTGACCAATTAAACAAAGCTAGCGGAGGGCATTATTCAGCAGTTGTTTTGATTGCTCTGTTTTGACTGCCCTGTTAAAGATTAATATCAGTGTACATGCTCCAGAAAGCTTTTCTTCAAATTCTTTAATTCTCACTCGCTTTTGTGCATGCGCAGGACCGCAACGTAAGCGTTTTGGGTCATTTCACTCTGTGAAAACGTTGAAAACACTAGTGTGGACGCGGAGCGTTTTCAAATCTATCCGGGCTAGTGTGGACGTAGCCTAAGGTTGGAAACCTGCGGTCAGCTGCGACTGAAGAAGTCCCCCAGCTGAGTGATGAAACATTTGTCCCACTGAAAACGCTTCGTCCAGACGAACAGAATCAACCTTTTGAGTCATCAAAGCCTCACACTTTCACTTTTCAACTAACATCACATATTACATGGTGAATTTTCTAAATGAACAGACTTTTGTGTTCACAGAGAAAGATGCTGCTATCGACGTTGCCAAAAGTGGGATTCTACCCATACTGGCTCAGGCCTTACAGAGAAAAAGCAGTCTGAGCTGCCAGGTGGCTTTGGTGGTGGCAGAGATGGCCCGAGAAGGTAGAACACTTGAACACTATAAAACTGTGTG